AGTATTTCCACTGATTCTCCCTGGATCTGTGTGTTGTGCAAACCTGGTGAAAGGAGACTCCTGTCCCAGGGAGCTATGCTCGCGGAGGGAGGATAAACCACAGGAGGACCCCATTCCTGCTAACAAGGCCAGGGTGATGGATGACCAGACAGTGGGTATTCATCTTGCTCTTCCCTTCTACATTGCTGTTAACAGCCAGTGAATTTCCTACAGGAACCATGTAGAAAGGGTCCTCAAAACAGTGTCCTGTGATCTCAGGGGCAAGCAAACATCAGCCTCAGTCCAACTCCTGGACCTCAACTCTGCCCCTTGTTCCCGGATCATTGAGAGCTGCTGGGCTATGCTGCTTGCTTTTCACGGCCTCCTGTTTACCTCACCTTTGGTCCTGCTCTGTGTTTACTGTTAAGCTGTTCATTCAAGTGCCATATAGTTTGTCAGGATTTGCTGAGGGAGCAAAGGTCTTCAAGCAGAAGACAAGAGCAGAGGAAAAACAGCCTCTGGCTGCCACACTTGTCCACAGCTTGCTCCAGAGAAGTTGCTCAAGATGGGCTGGCAGCTAATATGTACAAAAAAAGATAGCAGTAGCAAGCAGTATGTCGGCAAAATTTGGAGGCCTCTGAGAATCGCCTTTGTGGTTGCTTTCGGTTGACTTCTCAATGCCTTTATGATGATGGTGATGCAGTCATTGCTGATTTTACTTCCAGTATTTTATCAGGAATGTTTTTTATGGTTGCACTAAATCCTGAAATATAGATGGGGTGACAGTTTCTGCTGCCTCACCCCATCCCTTCACATTTACAGTCTCCCATATTTGTGTTGTAGCTGTGGCAGATAAAAGAATATAAATAAATAAAGTGTCATGGGGAGAAAGTATGCCTTTACTTACAGAATCACAGAATCATTTAAGTTAGAAGAGACCCTTGAGATCGTCAAGTTCAACCGTTAGCATAGCACTGACAAGTCCACCACTAACCCATGTCCCTGAGTTGCTACATCTACATGTCTTCTAAATACCTTCAGGGATGGTTGGACCAAATCTCACAGTTAGGAAAAAGACAAACTTTCAGGCACCTAAAGGGAGGTTCCCCCTCTCTCACTCACATCCTTAAGTAATATAAGACATCAAGTTTTAGCATTTTAGCTCTTCAAAGAAGAAAACCCAGGCAGGATGGGCCTTTTTGACAGGATCCTTGATATCTATGTGAAGTAGTCACAGGCCTCCAACGCTGTAAGAATCCTCAGTCATTGTTGTGACTGAAATACCATGAAATTATTTGGGATGCAAGAAATTCAAGGCTGTGAGTGAAAGGCAATAACTTGTTGTTTAAGAGGTAAACAGAAGTGGGAGCCACTGGAGGGGAATGCTAACATACGCAGGAACAAGGATGACCAATCTGCATATTAAAGGACAGCAAAAATATTGTGTGCAGGTGGAAAACAGGTGATTGTTTACACAGTTTCAAAGGAACTCTTGAAATAATATTTATGAAGGGTCAGGAGAGGAAAATCCAGCTGTTTATCCAGGAAACCATACTGAATAAAACTGGAAATGGCAACAGTGCCAGGGGTCAAGACCAGGCGTGGGTGTTCCGTTTCAACCACTTCCCTCATGCGGGTGGTGGCATTAGGGAAGGGTGGCCGTGCAGGTGGCTGGGGCCTCAGGTTGTGACTTCTTTGGTGAGAGCAGGTCTGAAGAAGGAAGCTTCTATGCAGGTTAAGAGTGATCCTCATTCAGAGGCAGTATGATGTAAATGTGGAGGATTAGAGCTAAGAGGATAAGGTGAGGAGGTGGCTGGAGGAACCAAAGGAATAAACAAGCTGGAGGTAGAATTATGCATTTTGCTGTATTTGCCATTCTGGGAGTCTGAGGTGTCACAGCTGAGGTTGCAGGACTGGTCCTAAGCGAAAACTATCCCTGTCCAAAAGGCCTACCTCCATCCTATATATGCCCAAGCAGTACTTACCACAGGGACTGTCCTCTCTGCATACCTCCTGGCTGGGTCTGTCATTTTGGTGACTCAAAGATTCCCTTATTTCCTCTAGCTCACATTTATGCCCCAAAATCACAGCCCCTTTCCCACTACTCCCCCCCCACCCCCCAAGCTCACCAGGGAAGGTCAGTCATCTCTCCAGGCATTAATCAGCTTCCTTGGCAGCCTTCCCTGGGGAGGGGACCCGTATCTTTATGAAGCCTACGTGCTCCGTGGCTGTGCCGTCTTACGTAGGCTGCGAGTGGCACCTCCAGAGGCTGTCCTGGAGCCACCCCTTCAGCTGCAACCTGCGAGACATTTCCACAAAGACCCTTCTTTGCTTTTCTCCTCAAGACGTTTGGAAAGGTGAAATAATCCAACACACACACACCATGCAGTGCTGGAGTAGGTGCTGCTGGGGTTGCAGGCAAGCTGTGGGATTGCTATCGCAAGGATCATTTCAGCAAGTTTTCCTATCTATCTGCTTAATATGGGTAGAAGCCCTTCCTTTTCCAAGCACTCACTGAGAGGTTAGCCAGGCTTGGTAAGCCAGACATCACCGATGTGTGTGAGGGGTCTGTGTTGTGCCATCTAATTCAGGTTGGCAGCACAATTACACAGACACGCAAGCCCTGCCCTCAAATCCCAAAGAAACCATTCGTCCCCATGCTCTGGAAATAGCACAGCACCAGGCATGCCCTGTGCCTTACACCTTTCCTCCAGGACGCTAAGCTGCCTGTCCCTGTGGAGCTGTGTCTCTGCTGATGTCCTCATTTTACATGCTGCAGTCAAGGAGTAAGGAGACTCCAGTCATCTCTGCTCTGAGTTCAGCCTTGGCTCATGACTTGAAGCCTTGGAGAGGGCACACATATCACATAACCACACTAGGATTATGGTCTGGTCCCATGCGTCAACATGGAGGGCTGCATCCCGAGTTATTCTATGTTTGGTGGGGTGTCTTCACATATTGTGGTAACTGGGTCTCCAAATGGGTGAATCAGCCCTTAGTGGAAGAGGAGCACAAGATTTCAGAGCCATGACCTCCTCCAGGGCACACTAGGAAATTTGGGGACAGGATGTCTCACACCCTTTTCTTTCCTAACACAAGGTCACATCTAGACGAGATTATAGTCCTTTGGCCTTAGTGGAACTTCCCACCTACTGGTTCCCCAACTTAATTGAGAATTAGTTTTCAGTCACTTCCTCTCAGCAGCCACCCTGAGAAGCTCTGGTCCATGAAAACAAAGCATTTGCCTTGGCCTCATGCTAGAGCTGAACATGCCAAGCAGATAGCCAGTCGGCCGTTTCTTCCCATCACTCCAGTGGGGGATCGCTGATGCTTTGATCATGTCCTATGAGTGAGGACAGCTGGGCTGTAAATCAAGGTCCCTGCTGCTCTGAACTTTTTCCTCCAACCAGCACCATGGATATATGGGATGTGTTTTTCCTCTCCATTCAGAGGTGAGCCAGGGTGAAACCTAGGCCTGGCAACTGGGCCATTAGACCTCTCTGTGCCATTAACTTGTTGCTTTTGCAGGAATTTTCCATCTTAAAACCCCATCTTTCTTCTCTTCCAGACAAATAGTATAGGCAAGAGGTCAGCTTCTTTCCTATGTAAAGTACCATCAAATTACACTTAAATGATAAACTGTAAAAGTGACAAATTTCTTTTTATAGCTTCTTTATTGCTCCTTGTCTGAGTATATAGAATGAGGAGATCTGTGATTTACATGGTAACTTTAAGGCTGCCCTGTGAAGGAGTCTGGGGATTGCAAAATAGACTAAGATAATTTTAAGGCAAACAGGTAATAAAAAAATAAACAATGAATGAGTAGCTACTGGGGCATGCATGCTGTCTCTTCCATCTTAAATGGCACAAAGGCAGTGAACGAGAGGCCAAAGACATTGAATTAGGAAGGAAAGTCAAAGGAGCCTCAATAATGCTTCTGATGGTTACTCAACCTCTAGCCAAAGCTTCACTTCTGCAATCACTTTTCCAGTGAGCTCATGACCTCTGTTAAACATGCCATGACCCTGGAGGGGTTGTGTTCAGTAACTGGCTCTGGAGCAGCCTTCTACTCCAGGCAAATACCCATCTGCTTTTAAGATGGAATTCAATATATTTCTGAAATGTAGTGCCTGCAAGAAAGGAGGACCAGGCTGGGTGAGCCAGGCAGCACATACAATCTCACATTCCTCAGATGGAGACAGGTAGGGGATTTGTACAATTCTTGTACAAATCAGGACTAAGGCTACGTTATTCTGGACTTTTCTCTCTCCCTCTTCGGCTGCCAGCTTGTATCACCATCCTCATTTGAAGTTCCCAAGTCTCTCTTTTCAGTTCCAGAGGGGTTTTGTCCATCAGACCCAACATTAGTTAGAGCCTGTGTTGATGCTATCACACTCATTTTGTGTCCTTGTAGATGCCAAGTGAGTGAAACAACCTCCTTGTCTGTGCAGTCCCCAGAGGGCTGCCCATCCCCGCTCTGCATTCCACCTGGTGCAGGAAAACACCAGGGCATTAGAAAGGCACCCGTAACCTTTGTATGCATTTGCGTGTCCTTGCTTCTACAAAAGCATGCCCCACAACTTCTCTGCTCTGGTGGCAGGTTATGTATTTGCATCTGGGCTTACAGAAGTTTAGGATCCAGGCTAGGAACATAGGGCTAAAGTTGCCACAAAACCTACCTACATTTCTGTGAGCCTCACTCCCAAGTTCAGTGACAGACAAGGGAAGGAGCAGGTCTGGTGATCACTTGGCACAGAAGTTTGCTTGAACTTCTGTGTCTCCAAGGGAGACATATGTGTTAGAATTTCTTCTTGGGGACTGTCTTACTGAAAGTTGGGTGAAAAGGCCAATTCTTTGAGTCCTTCCTGCTGCAAACAGTGTCTTTTCTGGTCACTGCTGTCAGATGTAATACCGACTCAGGAAGCTTTGAAGGATGCTTTGAACACAACTGAATGTGTTTGAAGCACTGAGGAGCATTTTAGCTTGCAGTTCTTGCATGAAGGTGTTGAACATGTGAATTTCAAAGCCTTTTGAGCAATTTCAAAATCTCAGTTCTGAGATTTAGAGTGATGATGGGATGAAAAGGTAGTATGCAGGATATACAAGGAAGTCAACACTTCCTCCCAGGCAGCAGTTTCCCACAGACAAACAGGATGTCTGCCATGCAGAAAAATGACAGCAGTAAACTGTGCCATGCCCGCTGGCCAGTGCTGTGTTTTGGAGACACAGGACACCCCATCATGCTGGTGCAGCTGCCCGATGAGAGCAGGTGATTAGAGCACAACAGGCAGCCCTGAAAAGCCACCAGGCTGATGCCAGAATCCTGCAGTTGCTGTGGACCATGTCTGAGTCATGTGCAGTGTCCAGAGACTTCCCTTATGGTGCGGAAAATGAGCAAGGTTTTCCTCTGAGTGCTTCATTCTTCCTGGTGTGAATTGCTGTTGTGACCTCCAGGTGCAGGCACGTCAATTACAAAACCACAGAAATTAATGCCTGAGCCTTCTAACAAAGTACCAGCAGAGGGAACACACAGGAAACATCCTGAGCCGTGAAAGAAACTCAAAGTCACTCAACCAAGCAAAACCCAGGCAGAGCAGGTAGAGCTAACAATGTACACTGGAGGTGGCAACTGCACTGCACCATGCCTCAAGGTGAGCATGTCCAAACACGTGCAGTTCTCAGGGCATCTGCAGGCCCTGCATGCACTGCCTCTGAAGACTGTGTATCGCTCTGCAGCTCCTCAGTGTTATGTCATTACTTGATCTCAAAGGGTTGCTAATGAGCTTTGGGCATTCTCTGCTCCTGAAAAGGTCCAGTGGGTTATCCCAGCTACAACATGTGCTTCTCAGGCTGGAAGTAATGAGATAGAACTCAGAACCAGGATCCAGGATGCAAATGCAGCACTGGGTACACCAACAGACCTGCCAGTTTGCAGCACTGGTGACACACACCCACAAAGGTATGACGTAGCTGAGTGCAAAAGACAAGACTTGGCTTTCTTCTCTGCTGACATGAAACAAATGCCTATTCCAGAATTGTATGGGAGTGACTCCTGACCTTGCCTAAAGAAAAATTAATTTTGTTCTGAAGGTAGTACATGGTCAGGAATAAGCTGTCCTTGGGACTCACCTCTGGAGATTTTTATCCCACTCTAACAACATTGCTTTTGAGAACTTTCCAGTGTCCTCTGTCTGAGGGCTGCAGATGGGACCATTCCCTTTATGTGTGAATTCATGTACCACGTGAAAGCCACATTGATATGTAGAGGGAATCCTCAAAATGTGTACATCCAAAATCCAAACCCAGGGGTTTGGTTTTCCCTGAGAAGTATTTGGCACTAGCTGATGCAAGTTTTACAGCTTTCAGGACCTCGGGGTGAAACCATGCTAGGCCACCTTTTTGCAGAGTGCAGAAATGGAGATACTGGTCCTCAGTGCCTGTAAGCAGCAGGTGATCATCACTGTAGGGATGGAGGAGAACTAAGTACTGCATGCCACTTGCTGTAATGCATGCCATAGACATTGGACAGCTAGCTGCTGCTTGCTGTTATGGGGCACCCACATCACCTCAGTTGCTGACTCAGGTCTGCTGCAAGTGATAAGTGAGGAGGATGGTGTCTTTCCAACCTGGGGTGATTCCACCTGGGAGCCAATATGAGAAAGGGATGGCTCTCAGCAACACATATTTACTTCTGAGGTGTGGCTCTCTCTACGCCACCTCTGCCAAGGCAGGCAGATCATGGGCTGTGCAGGGTTTCCAGACAGAGTCCACAGGGCATGGGAGCACAAGCGCTGGACACCATGCACGTTCTCAATGGTGCTGTGTGCATGCTGGGGAAATCGGGGGGTCATGTTGGGCTGCTTGGCTGCTGGTGGCATGCAACCCGGTGCCAGGGTCCCCCGGTGGTGGTGGTGGTGATGCTGGTGGGAGGCTGTTGACATTTTCTTATCCCCTGAAAGTAACAGTCTGCCCTAATGCTTGGGGATATTGTCAGTGATGAAGTCATAGGACCATGTGTGATCTCAACAAACACGCAGTCACTCTGGGGCCAGGCTGTGCAAGCATTCAGTGTAGAAGGCATTTTGTCTTGGGAGATTTTTCATCACTTGACAACTGAGATGTTTTTGAGTTTCATAAGAACGCAGTGATGGCCTCACTGGTTTGGACCTAGATGCTCATCTAGGGCTAGGTGTGGTGGGTTCCAGGTGGTCAGGCAGCCTGAGGTGGAGGGGGATGAGGTGTGGGAAAGAATGAGACAGAGGCACCCTGGCTGCTGAGCGTACCTCAGCCTGAGGGTGCTGCATGCCAGTGGAGCGTGGGTGAGGAGCCTGCATGTGTCCAGGTGTCTTCTTCACAGGCTGCAGCCGCCACGAACATACACCCGTTTCAAAGCACCGCCCTGCCACAGGCACAGGTAAGAAAGTGTAATAGCTGCCAGGAGGCCAGGGAACCCGGGGTAACTCAGGAGCATGCACGTTTCATTATTGCTGGGCTGGCTTGGCACAGGGAAGACATTTGTAACTGACAGCAGGTTTGCCAGAGCAGTCAAACAGAGCAGTGTAACAATAGGAATAAGCATTTCAAATATTTGATTTTGCCTTGTAATTCCTTGCAGGCTGCTCGCAGTTAATAAGGGGAATTTTGTCAACCCCAAAGCGACTTTGATATGGTAAATTTTCAGCTCTTGATCTTTAAATGTTCTCTCCCCTGCCTCCCTCAGGGAAAAAAAACGCCAAACTAGCAATATAGGGTTTTTTTTTAAGTGGCATGTGTGGACAGTAGAAAGCTTAAGCAAGGGAGTGGTTCTTGTCTCTGCTGAAAGTAGCACATGGGGCTGGGCCATGACAGGTCAACAAGGATAAAATTTCCTCATAAAGCTACAATTTTATAAAAGCAATTTATCGATGGTAAAATCTGTCCCAGCATGATGCTTCTGATATTTTATCCAAATACTTAGCAGGAACAGTGCTGATGTCCTGATCTCACAAATCCATCTTGGTTGCTAACACTGACTGCAGTCTGATTTGCCCTGCTACTATGCTCATTGCTGTAGAGTGGAGTTCCCACTCCAATAGGTTATTTTGATAGACTTCACCTGTCAGCCTGATTTACAAAGGTGCTTTTGAGCACATTCATGTGTTGTGGTTTTTTGCTATAACAGAAGACTGGATGTGAAAGGGTCTTTCCAGTGTTCTGCGCTGTTCTCCAGTATCCAGACTTCCAGGTGAGCTTGTCATTGCTGATTTAATACCCACCAGGGAGATTGGCATCCCAGCTCATCTGGGCTTGTTTTGCCTTATAGTGCAACCTTCCAGGAAGGTCCTTTTCTTTATGTAGATACCTTTGCAGCAACACCTGGGGCTTTCTCTGTAGGGTTCAGAAGTCTCTAAGGCCTAGGCGCAAAAACCCAACAGTTACAGCATCTGCCACAGAAGAGAGGAGAGAATTCAGGCATAGAATCATAGAATCATTTATATTGTAAAAGACCTTTAAAATCATGGAGTCAAATTGTTAATCTAGCACTGCCAAGTCCACCACAAAACTATGTCCCCAGGTGTCACATCTACAAGCCTTTTAAACACCTCCAGGGACGGTTTCTCAACCACTTCCCTGGGCAGCCTCCTCCAATCCTTGACAACCCATTTGGTGAAGAAATGTTTCCTAATATCCAGTCTAAACCTCCCATGGCACAACTTGTGGACATTTCCTCTTGTCCTACTGATTATTACGTGGGAGACTGGCACCTACCTTGCTCCATCCCCCTTCCAGGTAGTTGTAGAGAGCAGTAAGATCCCCCATGAGCCTCCTTTTCTCCAGGCTAAACAACTATTTCCCTCAGCCTCCTCTTATGAGACTTGTTCTCTAGACCCTTCACCAGTTTGTTGCTCTTCTTTGGGTGCAATCCAACATCTTTCTTGCAGTGAGGGGCTCAGAACTGAACAGGGGATTTGAGGTGCAGCCTCACCAGTATTGAGTACAGGCAGATGATCACTGCCCTGGCCCTGTTGACCACACTATTTCTGATACAGGCCATGATACCATTGGCCTTCTTGGCTACCTGAGCTGCTCATGTTCAGCTCCATTGATCAGCACCCCCAAATTCTTTTACACCAGGCAGCTTTCCAGCCACTCTTCCCCAAGCCTGTAGCATTGTATGGGGTTGTTGTGGCTCAGATGGACCTGGCACTTTGCCTTGCTGAACCTCATACCGCTGTCCACAGCCCATTGATCCACCCGGTCCAGATCCCTCTGCAGAGCCTTCCTATCCTCCAGCAGTTCAACACTCCCACCCAACTTGGTGTCATCTACAAACTTACTGAGGATGCACTCTATCCTCTCACCCAGATCATTGGTAAAGGCATTAAACAGAGCTGGCCCCAGTGCTGAGCCCTGGGGAACACCACTTGTGACCGGCCGCTGACTGGGTTTAACTCCACTCACCATCACATTTTGGCTTTGCCCTCCAGCCAGTTTTTACCCAGTGAACAAGTGAACATGGAAGCTATGAGCAGACAGGTTCTCCAGGAGAACTCTGTGGGAAACAGTGCCAAAGGTTTCACTGAAGTCTAGGTAGACAACTGCCACAGCCTTTCCCGCATCCACTGAGTCACCTTGTCATAGAAGTTGAGGTTAGTGAATCAGGTCCTGCCTTTCATAAACCCACACTGACTGTGCCTGATCACCTGGCTGTCCTGTGATGCTTCCAGTCCTGCATAAGTTTGGTCCTATTCTCTGCTGGCAGAATTGTCCATGCAGGCCTCTATCATGCCAGGATTTACAGTCACAGATTTGCCACAAGCTTAAGTGAACAGTATCACTTTTTTTCCCAGGCTTTCTAGGTTTAGTATTTGCTTTTGTGAAGAGTGCATGCAACTGAAGATGCATGGCATGGCAGCATAAGAACCTCTCCCTGCCAGTGTTATCCTCAGTGCCAGGTTGTGCTATATACTGCTGCTGCTTTTGTCTCTTCATCCTGTGCTACAGGTTTCCATGGCAGGATTTCAAAGCTTGAGAGAGCAGAGGCTGCCTTGGTTAGTTTTCAGCAAATATATGCTAGGAAACACCTCTCAGGAGCATGATGATCTCAACTTTTTATCAACAGCAATTAATCTGAGGATCCCAGCAAATTCCCCATTTCCTTTGTCACTCCAAAAACTACTTCCAGTTAACTCAAGCCCTGTGTTGCTTTCCAGCCTTTCTGGGTTTTATTCTTCTTCTTCTACTACTGCCTGCCTTCTGGAGATCAAGGCAGCCGAAGGAGTTAAAGCAACCTTTAAAGCTGGCCAGGAGAATCCAGACATGCAGGAGCTGCCTAAACACATGTAGAGAGGCAGCTGGCTGGCACATGACCCACTGAACAGATCAAACAATGCTGCTAGGAGCCAAGAACAATTTCCAGTACCTGCTGCACTGTCTATATCTTCCCTGGGTCTCAGCACCCCTTCACCGCCCCCCAATCCTTCCTTTTATAGCCAAGTCAGAGTAATACTCTCCAACGTTACTGAAGTGACATGCACCTGGTTCTGAGCACATGTGCCTCACAAGGTGACAACTATTCGTGATCAGGCAATGTTTATGCTGCTTATGTCCATGGTAGCATTTAAGTCAACAAATCACCTGGTGTAAGCACATGTGCATGCACTGAAACTGAAGTGCCAGAGCCACAGGGGTGTAAAACAGGGCTTCCTCTTGCATTGGACATAGGTCCTTGCCGTTCTCTTTCTCCTAACTGATGATATGACTCACACTAAACATTGACAAAACAAACAACTGGTTTGCAGAGGCAGCAAAATCACCATAGGCTATTGCCTCCTTTGCCAATGCCACAGCAGGAAAAACTCCCAAGTTGTTCACTGTTGCTGAGGGTAGATTTGGGATCCTGTGGTAGGCAGCTATTGAGAAGACTTGGAAACCATATTTTCCCCCAAATCCAGGTGCAGAAAGAGCAGCAAGGTGAACTTTTGTCACACATTTGTCCCAGTAGTTTGTTCCAGGGAAACAAAATTCATTTTTCCCTATCATTCTGAGATGCTTCGAGTTGGTTCTGTGCAGTGATCCTTAGAATCCCTTCATGACCCAGTTTCTGAACACCAGAGCAGCATGAGGATATATATATGGTGGCTGTCAGAGGAAAAGTGGAATGCCTTGCTGTGCTGAAGTATGGTGGAGGGGGGTATTTTTCCTTTCACTTTTGGTTTGTTTTTTTTCTGAAGGATGAAAAAGGTAATCTGAACAAATGCCTTCGTATCTGGTACAGAAGGACGTGTGGTGTATTCCTGTAGAAGCTCACTCCGTGTACGAGGCTGTGTCTGTTCCAACCACCTGAAGGAAGGTTCATCTTGCAGCTGAGATTTCCAGAATGCTGGAGAAGTTGAGGTGTCAGCCATGATGTTCATCTCAAATGGTAGCTGGTCCTGCAGTTATACTGGTCCTTGCAGTGGGATGCCTTGAAGTTAATGACTCTGACACTGAACGTAGCAAGGTGAGGTGTGGGAAGCAAGGCAAGAAATGCGGAGAGCTCAGCTGTCCTGGGAACACCATGTCCTGTGGTGGCTGTGGCCTGCAAGGAGCTCTTAATGCTTTGAAGGTTTTATGTGCTGCCACATTGCATCGGTTTGATCACTGCGTGATCATGTCAGAGTGAGAAATAAGACAGAGCAAGCTCTTGCATTCCACTCTGTTGTGAGAGTTGCCTCTGCTGAGTACAATGCTTCTGCCACTACACCAGCCCAGTGTCACTTCACACTGCTTTCCAAAGGTAGTGGAAATCTTTTCATAGACTCATAGAATGAGCTAGGTTGAAAAAGACCTTTAAGATAATCAAGTCCAACCATTACCCCAGGACTGCCAGGAACACCACTAAACCTTTCTTCTCTGTGAAGTTATTTTTCCTACATATCCAATCTAATTTTCCTAATATCCTCCCCTGGCACAGCTTGAGGCTGTTACCTATCACTTGTTACTTGGGAGAAGCGACTGACCTCCATCTCACTACAATCTCCTTTCAGGTAGTTGTGGAGAGCAACTTTGGTGCTTTGTTCAGTGATTTTGGATAAAAGTCTGAGCTATCTAGAACCTGATAGCTACCCTTTGTAGTAATTAGGAGTTGGGTTCTTTTCCTTAGGAAGAGACAAGGTACAGTGACATTGAGAATGAAATCCTGCTAGGGCTGAAGACTGTTCTGAAGGGTGATGGGCTGCAGGGGCTAAATTCTGCCTTTAGCTGCCTGCTTTGCTTGTCACCACACATGGAAAACTGGAAAAACACATATTGGACATTTGTGCATCCTTATCCTCTGCTTGTCCCTTTGGGTCTGGTTCTGGCAGTGTGATAGGTGAAACTGGAGAATAAGGATCAGCTTGCAGGAGGGATTTTGACAGGGGCCAGAGCTGAGTCCCGGGAGACATGGGGCAGCTCCATTTGTCTTGGCATTATTGAAGTCAATGGGATTTTGGCCATAGTCTTCAACAGGGCTAGGATTTCGCTGAGCATACCTAAGAAAGCACTGTATCATACAGTTGTGCTGTCTGCCATGACATTTACTGCTAGCGAAACCAGTGTGATCCCTGTATGACCTGTGTACTTGTCTCTGCCTTCATAGCTCTTCACCTGTGGTTTTCCCCCTCACCTACTAAATAGTCTCTATCTATCTATCTATCTATCTATCAT